TAATGTTAATTTATGGTAACTAGTTTTTAACACTTATTCAAGCTTAAAAAATTTATCAAGAGAAAAATTTTCAGTCAGTGCCCCTCCTAAAATTATATGGAAAGTTTAAGGCAGAAATTTTGACATGGAAACGATTATGTGGCCAAAATGAGAATAAGTATTGTTTATTTAATTTGTAGCTCGGTTTCCTCGAACTGAATGGTACAGTAAGACCCAACAAATACGGCGCATGGTGAGTTTTCGTTTGCGCAAAGCAGACCTACTAGTTATTACGATGAATAAACGTGATATTGAAATTTAAAATGAAATGTGTCTTGTTTTAATAACCATAAGGTATAAATAGAACTCATTAATTGTCAATCACAATCAGCCGGTATCAGGTGCGCGGATCGCCCGATGAGTCGTTACTTGAATCATAAACGCCATCCATTTATTACGAAAGATGATTTTGAGAGAAAGGGGTTAATCATGTCTTAATTTTTCTTAAAAGAGGGAACACAAACACACTCAAACGTAAGATAAACAATTTATAGGAAAAAATGTAAGTGCTCTATATTTTTATGTAATAATTAATCAGGCAAAAATCTTTTTACGTTATAAATGGAGGAAGTCATATAGACTAGCCATGATTACACGTTTCGAAATCTTATGTCGGTCAATCATATTAGTTGTATCTTACTGTACATAGTCAAAATCAAAATCAATGTTTATATATAATTAATTTTTTTGCTATAAAATAAATAAATCTCAAACAACCCACAAACTTTTAAGGTACTCTTATGGGACTACTCGAGTTTTAGTTCTTTTAATTTTGCATTTAAAACGACATCTCAAAATCCATTCGGCCTATTTACAATATTATATTAACGGTGTTAGTTGATAAAGCATTAACTATTAAGGGTCTACTGCTGAATATAAACATCGAAATCCGATTTAAATAAAATTGATAGTATTTTTTTATTACTCAATTGATCTTACTGAAAATATCTCAGAAAATAATTACCGATCTGTAAAAGTGACGACATTTAACAAGTACAATAAACAAATGTATTTAACAGAAAAATATCAAACAGAGGGGAATATTCGCCGATTTGTTTGGTATCTAATTAAAAAGTACAAGGATAATTTGTTGGTATTTACAATTTTAGAGTGAGCTTTTTGTTTACTTTTTAAACAGTTCATTTAATCGTATTAGTCGACAAATAAGGACTGATGTAAAACCTATAATTATTATTAAGTATCATAACAGATTTTTAGAATTACATATACTATACTGTCAGTAATCATATAAATTTTTCAGTTTAAAAAATAATTGGTTCTTATGTCAATGATTAAGAGTTCATTTTATATGCCATTGAAAATAAGAAACCTTAAATTTACAGTGCCGCCGCTAAAAGAATATGCGTTTCTGGCATATAGACTTAAAGTTGACGATATAATATTGAAAAATGTTCAATTTTACGAAAAAAAAAAATTTTTTTTTTCTCCTCCTGACAAATAATACGTATTAAAACGATATTATTATAACGGCATAGTACCTAATAACTTTGTTCTAAATTTAGTGTTAAATAACAGAGATAAACAATCGTTTAACACGTGATGCAAATGCTTTTACAATGTTATATTAGCTTTTTTTATAATTATGCACCAAAAATAATTAGACAATAGTAATAAAATATGTCGTATAAGTAAATTAAATAATACGTTCTGTAGTTAGTATAATTTTAAAAATACATTTTAATAACCCAGACGGTTTTTCAAATAAATATTTCAAAATATACCTTGGCTTTCTCATTTCTTTTCAAATATTTGCAACTAAAAAAAAACAAGGTTTTAGTGCTTGTTCTAAATTAATAAAATCTTGTTTATATCGAACCAGTAAAAATAATATAAATATCAACTATTTTCCATATAATTAATCCTCAATATTTGACAGATGTTGGGAACGCCTTCCCTGGGCGACCCTAAATATCATTAAATATCGGCAATACATCATTTAAACTAGGTAGGTAGGTCTCGATCGCTATGTCGTGGGCCATTTGTCAAAGTAAGCCAATCACGATCATCCCAGGTAGATACGATCCGCCTCAATTTCATGATTTGGCAGATTAATTCATCATATATCCAATATAAGGTTAAGCAAACCAATATTTACGATATTAACTTCTGTATGAAGAAATTTTGCATGGGAATTCATTTCAGGACGCAGGTAACCAAGACGGGATTCTACGAAATTCACATAAAACAACCGCTTAGGGGCTAAGCGGTTGTTTTTGTGTTGATAATTTGTACGAAACTCCTGGATCGATTAAAAAAAAATCCTACTAAAAAATAGATGATATTTTTATAATAATAATATTTTCTAAAACAACGATCATTTAAAATAATATATACTATACTGCATTACATCATAATTACTAATTAAATTTAAGAATAGGTCGATAGAACGGAAATTGCTAGGTTTATGTAGGGTAGAACTGCCATCATAACGCAAAAACCGAGTGAAGGCAACGAGTAGCTACCAGCGAGTGCCAGTGCCGAATCCTGCCTATTGTACTTGAGTAGAGAAAGTTAAATTTATTATTAATCATATGGTAAGTACTTTATAGGTACTTAATCATCTACAACCAATTGGCGCAAAAACGGCCGGGCAAGTCATTATACGTTAAGATTTGAACAATATAGCAAGTATTAAAGCGGCGACGCAAGAAATAGAGACAAAACATGATCTGCCAAAGCAATCTCGATCTGACCATTAGCGATTGGCCTACGACAAACAAGTCTTCATACGTATTATTTTCTTCGGATCACTTAAAATGTAATAACTTCGAACCACACATGCTTTTAGATTGTCTACATATTTATCGTAATTCAGACTCCAATTTTATATCGTCAAACGCTATTAAAATACAATCACGACATAAATAATAATCGAGAAATTGCAATCGATTTGCTGATTTAAATCTCACTCATAAAATTATTACTACTTTATAAAAAGGCATTTCTTATTGATTTCCGTTGTCGTTACAACTAATAACGTATCTAGAATACGTTTTATTAACATACGATGCAATATTCTATAATGTTTACATCTGGTACAAAGTCAAATATATAAAAAAAAAAACTATATAAAGTATATACGAAGTATTATGAAATGTAAGTGGTGTCTAGTTCGGTTTTCCTTAATTTTTTCAAAACGTATAAATTCGTCAAAATATCGCTAAATGCAACACGCGTGGAATCAGTCACGTACTTCCCATGGATTGACTACAGAGACGTAAGTTAATCACAAAAGAGAGTTATAATATAAAAAATACAAAAGTATAAAAAATAATTATTAAAACTTGCAAGCAGCCACACTAGACAACATTTTATACGTCAAAAGGAATGAAATCATACACTTTTTAATTCCAAGATACTTAGTAAAGTATATTTTCTGAAGGAACTTAGGGTTATTCTTAACTATTCATTAACTGCTTACCGATATTATAAGAGACTGCTACATGCTGCTAACTAGTACTCAAATAATACTCGAAATTATTTATTTAATATTCCTTCAACAGTATATTACCGTTTTGAGAATTAAGCTTCACTGAATTTTCTAATTCTGCACTATAAATATGTACATTCACTGATTCTGATTAGGCACCACTTAGTAAATTGCCTGCATATGTATATTAACATTAAATACTTATAAAATAGAGCATTATATGACTCAACTTGTCACTGCAATTTTTGAGTGGGCATGCGAGTTGCTATTCCTTTTTCTTATTTAATGCTTAGAATACAAACTACTTTTTTTTTTTATTTAACGCGCACTTAAATACCCCTAGCCGTATCGTGGCAGTCCCTCATCGGAACACTGGCTCTGGTATTGAAAAATATCTTTATTTACAATGGAGAAGTAAAATTTCTGAGATAATTTATGCACCTATATTAACGAGCATGCACTTAAATCTAACACATCCTGCCTGTCACACATATTGTAATGACTATACATGAGTATTGCCGAATATTGCACAAATTATGTGGAAAAAAAGTATAATTTTATCAAACAAAACCTCTAAATCAGTCCTCGATAACTAATTTAAATAATAATTTCTAGACAGTTAATTAGTTGTCAAAGTGATATGCGTTAAAGTTTTTTTTTTTTATGTTAGCTCATGAAGATAAAAATATTAATGTTAAATAATGCTTCATCTATAATATTCAGGTTCCAAAAGTATCCGTATTTTAAGTAAATAGTGTATAAATTGAATATTAATCATTTTAGAAATGAAGTTTGTTTATATAACTACAATCTGACTTTACTATTATATATTCATACACATTTGCTTTCAAATATTTTGTTTATGAGACTGTAATTAGATTAGAGAAGCTACCATTTCAACTAATTACCGCAATGACTTTCTAATGCATATAAAATTAGTAGAAAATATTTTGAATGTTTAACTATTATCATGTAAAGAAATTTAAAAATTTTGCAGCTATATCTATCTAAAAGTTAAGTTACTTTGTGATCTGTCAATTTGTTTTGGTCAAAATCATTTTATGGTGTTGCAAAGAGTATAAAAAATATGCCATTACGTTGCACAAACGTCCATTAAAATGCATAATTTTAAAGTTTAAAGCGACCTTACCCATACAAATATGACATCCATTAGAGCTTAAAGGCATCATTAAACCTTAATGGACGTTTGTGCAACTGACCGTAAGATTTACAATAATACTAAATGAATATAATGTTTTGTTATCAGAATCTAAGGCATGTATCATCATATCAATATATCAAAACTGAATAAAATCATCGCGTCAACGCCGTTTTGACGGAACTATTCTAGTGTACATAGAGCCACTATTCGCATGTCATAGTTATAAATACAACACCATAACTAATAATTGAATGACTAATGAGTTTGACGGATTCTAGTGTCAGTCACAACGTATACAACAGAAAATCGTAGCATAAAATGATATGAACATATACTTGTACCATATTTTATATCATTAGAAAGTCATTAATCTACAGACTATAAAGTAAAAATAGAATTATAATCTGCAGTGCATTACCAATTTTTTTTTCAACCATATTGGGTGATGTATTGATTTGGTGAAAACCGAGATCTATAAATATTAAACTCAACTCTTACGAAAATCATCATCAATTATGACAAACGGCTGGTAATAAGGTCGACTAAACACTTAGACAGGTAGTGGGGTGTTTAGAAAATGAAAATATTAATATATATCCAAAACCCTTGAATTAAAGAGATCGGTCCATACTTAATTTTACAATATCATAAGGTTTTTAACTTATTCAGGAATTATTTAATTTACCCAGCTATCTATATGTTCAGAACCTTATGTACAGCATGTTCAAAAAGACACAATTACCATACAAATACACCCAAATTCATAAATACACACTATCAAATTTAAATAAATAATGGTTCTCCTAACATCAAAAATTCAATCCAAAACTACAAGAAATAGTCCCATCAGTCTAGAAATTTTTTTACATGTTGATTTTTATATACTTACGATTGCTTTAATAACTATAACGACGATTATTAATCAAATTAAATAATAGCAATTAATAATTTACATACGCTATTTTCTGATAGTTATAATATGAATGCAATACAATGGAAGCACAGCTTCATTTACAATAAATTATTGCATATAAGAAACACTTTTTTCACAACAAATATTGATACATAAAATGTAAATAAATGAGATATAAAGTGTGATTAATCACAACCAGTCACAAAATTCACACAATTAAAGTTAAACTGATTTTGTTCTAGTGAACACAGTTACATTACTTTTTTTGGGAATATTTATAGTTTCATAGTGTGATGTACGTTGTGATAATCGAGCTCTCACATATAACTACTATTTGATTACATGCATAATCATCATGACAATATTTATGAGATTCCTCATGAGGCACAAAGTAAAATTAAAACAATAACAAAAAATATATATTGCTTATACTATTATTAAGATTTACTCGTGCATTACTCAAATGCACAATGTTTTTTTTTTTATAATATACTTAGAATAACTTTAAGTTAATCATTGAGCTTTCCATTTATACAAATAAATAATATATTAAACTAATTTACGACGACCAAGTTACGTTAAAAATATACAGAGACACTAAACTTTAAATGACTACTGTACAAAGAGATTGAACTCGCGCACTAGAGATAGCGTCTAACAGCGTATGCGCGGTTTGTATCACCTCACTTCACAGTGTTTGTTAACGGCGATGGGCAGCGACGAGGCGGGCTGCGGCGGCGGGCCGGGCGGCGTGCCGGCACCGCTCCCGCCACTGCTGCCACCCTGCGCACCCGCCTCCTTCATCACGTACCCGGAGCCCTGCGAGCTGCGCGCCAGTTTTAACCGGATCGGCGTCACTTTGGCTGTCCGTATCTTGCGCATGGCGGACGATTCGGAGTAAGAGGGCGGGTCGATAGCGAGCGGGTCGGGTGCGGTCGGGTCGTACTCGAACGGATCGACGGCCGGCTCGGGCGCGACCGCCGCCGCCGTTACGCAACCGCTCGTCCCCAGGCCTTCCGGAGGAAGTTCCGGAGTACCGCCCTCGCTCGTACTGGGACCTTCCCCGCCCTCCTCCTCCTTAGTGCGCTTGATCTTTATTATAAGTTTCGTAGCACTTTCACTTTCACTGTTCACCACTTGAAGCTTTTCAGCCTTTTTGTCTTTCTTCTTTTTACGTTTTTCACTTTTACTAGGCTTGTGTTTCTTCGCTTTCTCGGTCTCTTCAAAATCGGCCATCACCTTACGCCTATACTTCATACTCTCGCGTCTGAGATCTTCCAAACTGGGTTTAGGTATACTCGTCAAACGCTTTTTAGGCGGCCGGAATTGGAATCCCGACTGATCATCGTTTACTTGTTGGACGATATTAGATCCAATCTTTATTTTCAATTTAGGCGCCACTGGAGATGTTGTATTCGGTCTATTTGGCTTTGTGGAAACTCGTCCGCGTCTTTTGAAGGACTGGTTGGTGTTAGTAGCAAAATTAGACAACTTAACGTCGTCTGATGGATCTGCATCATCGTTCATGCTCACTTCTAGATGCCTCAGTTCTCTAGAAAGACCACTAGTAGTCTTTCTCTTTTTCTTATCTACTGGGGTATCGCTGAATTTATAATCCTCTCTTGTCGGTATACTAGTCATTGAGGCCACGGCTTTTGGTATGGTAATGACTGCACGAGCTAAAGGCTGTGGCGTGGCCGGCGGGGGAATGGCTCCGATATTTGATGCATTAGCTGGATCATCCATATTCATATCTTGGGTCCAATATTGGCGTAATAATTCTTTCTTACGCATTCGCCGTAGATTAGTAGATCCAGTCATCATCGATGAAGCTGCACCTCCAGATGAACTAAACATGCTAGTGTTGGATTCATGAACAGGAGCAGGTTGTGGTGGTGCAACTGGCTGAACACTACTAGCTGAATAATTTGCATCTAAGAATGGACCCTTTATTTTTACTTTCAATTGGTTTCGTGAGTCTGATAATGATACTTTTGGTAGTTGAGGAGTGTATGTTTCTCTAGGAGGTTCTTTAGGCTCTAAAACCGGCGTTGTAGGGGGAGTTCCACCCGTACGAGGTTTGCTGGCCATTAATGCGCTATGTAATTGTTTTTCAACTTCTTCGTCAATGTCTACTAATTGTTGATCAGCTGTGCCACTAGCGAATTCTAATAAATGACTGTGATATGCCTCAGCAGCGGCAGGAACAGGATTTTCGAATGGTTGGTATGTACGCATGTCGACAGGCCCTGGTAATACAGGTTGAACACTAGAAAATCCAGGGCCTTTCCCAGGGGGAGTTGAAGATCTTTCTGATGGTGAGGGAGATGCCTTAGCGTCCTTTTCAACTGTGGGCGTACGCTTACTAGTTTGCGGAGGAGTAATAACACGTGGTGACGGTGATGCGTCTTTATACGAATGCTCAGATTTCCGATCATCTCTTATGTCCACAGATTTCCGTCTCTCTCGAAGAGCTTTGAGATCAACGCCATCAGCAACCTCTTCGTCGAAGTCATATACAGTACCGACAAGTTTATTTTGAATAGAATTGCCCATATAATCCACTGGGAACCCATGAATACCTTGGCCTCTACTCTTCGAGCGACCTCGACCTCTTTGACTTCTATTATTTCTATTGTTGGATCGTTTATTGTTTTTCGGAGCCTCATTTTGTTTCGGAGATGAAGATACTCCTGGACTCTTACCCGGTGATTTTCCTGGAAATCTGGATGTCGGTTTTGGTGGCTTTGGAGGAGATTTCTCTTCTTGAGGAATGACGCTTGAAATAGTTTCATTGCTATCGTTGGACATTTTGGTAACAGGTCTGGCACTATTAGAGTCATTATAAGAATCGATGCTGACACTCGGACTAGACACGACATGAATATATTTATCACCACAAGAAACATCGATGTCTTCCCGAGGAGAATCAGTGGGTTTAGGTGTTGGGGGAGCGATCATAGCAGTAGTGAGGGCAAGGTTCTGTGACGAAGTCGTAAATGCTGCACATAATGGAAATGGTTTTGGCGAAATGAGAGACGTAGTAGTGAAAGGCAAACCCGTCGCATATAGACCCGGAGCTGGAGAGGGTAATTGTAATTGCGTAAAAGGCAATGAACTCAAAAATGGAGATGCGTTCTGCGGATAGGCGCTATATTGATTCAGAGGCATAGCTGGCTCCACAGCACAGGTATAAGCCGGCAATGGTGGATAATCTATTTCCGGCAGCATATTACTTTGATGAGCATCCAAACTATTCATGTGAGATTTTAAATCGGTCTTCTGAGAGCACACAGAACCTTCTGAAGTTGTACTTGAGGCGGACGACCTTCTGGTTGTTATCTTACTTTCTCTCCACTTAGAATCTTGACTAACATAGGGAGAAGAAATAGTTGCACAATCTGAGTGTATTACAGAGTTATTATTTTCATAATTTTGATTATCTTGAGTTAAATCCTGATCGTTGCTAGTAACTGAATGATCAACAACAGATAATGGTTGGGAGTCGTCACTTTGCTTTGATAAAGATATTGAATCACCAATTTCTGACATAGACTGAACATCTGACTGCACTGTCACAGCTTCTTTGACATCATCATTGTATTGCATATGATCATATTTCCTTTCCTCAGTTTGTTCAATATGAGGTTCCAATGGGGGTACAGATAAGTCTGACCATTTCTCATTACTAGTCATAGGAACAGGTTCATGATGATATTCTTTGTTATCTATTAAAGTTCCTCTAGACGGAATTTCAGATGTCGAATATGTATGTGGTATATGATTAACAGCGATGTGAGTTTCCTTTGGCGAAATTCTTTTCTCATGCAAATCAAGCGCAACTTCTTTATTTTTGGGTACATCGTGTTCATGATCACTTTCAATGGAGTTGGATGTAATATTATTTTCATTTTCTCTCTGGTTATTCTCATCAGTATTTACTGATTCGTCTTGAGCAGAATTCTCAGTTGGCACCTTCTTGGAGTTCAGTTGAAGACGCAATCTATCAACCAGATTAAGAGTTTCTTGCACCCCTTGCTCTTTGGAATCTTCTTTGAAGAAAAATTCAGGGTAAGAAGTAAATGGTTTCATAATATCTTCATGATTGAATCCATCTTCAACAGCTAACATATCAATATCAAACATTTCATTATCTTTCGACTGAGGTGAAAAGATAGATCTATTAGGAAATGGATTAACGGCAGAAGGTATTTTAGCACTCTTTGAAATTTCCACACCTTGCCCAACGTGACTGGCATCTTGAGTAATAAACTTCTTATCCGCGTCCAATATAGAACGTTTTCTTATATTTCGTGCTATTGGATTATCCATATCAATTGCTTCCAGAGAAATGGTTCTTGCATCCATTGGAGTTTTAGGCGATTTAATCATGGTATTTTCATTAAGATTCGCTTGTATCTTAGCAATCATTTTAACACTGCTCTTATCAGTGGAATCTGAATCCATCGATTTATCTTCAGTCATATACTTTTCAGGTCCACCTGGCTTTTCAACGGGTGGCGGATTAACGTTAGGACTTGGAGCTTTAGGCAACCAATGTTTATCATTGTCTTGATATTCGTGATGGACTGGCAGGGGAGTTTTTCTATCAATTTCGTCAGTAGGCTTTTCAACATAAGTTGGTTTCTTGACAGGAGACAAGCTAGTAGTTTTTTCAGGCTTAGAAGTTTTCAAAGGTTCATGCTTACTCTGCCTCCTTTCTTTGGTGATAGGCTGACGTGGTACATCTGTATATGGTACAGATTCTTTAGGCGGATCTTTCACACTATTTCTCCTGTTTGTAATACCTTTCTGCTTTACTTCAACACTCTTCTTAGGGCTACTTTTCGGAGGTGGTTCATCTGGAGTTCTAGCTAAATCGTCATGATAAGAACTTTGCCTCCGACTAGGCCTGGTAGACTTCGGTTTAACTTCATGGATAATAGGAAGCTCAGGTGTGAAAGACTCTTCCTCTTCTTTCTTTATCTCCTTGTCCGCTTGCCGCTCCGCAGATGGAAATTCACCGGACTTGCTGCCCTCTTTGGGAGTCTTAAGGGGCACAGGGGTATAACTGGTCTCGTCTTTAGATGATTTTCTCGATCCGGTGTCAGACTTATTAAGCATATTTCCGCTTGAAGCAATGCTTCTGGTCCGAGCACGCGTGGCAGCACGCGCGTTGCTGGATCGACTTGGTTCCTCTCCTTCAAGAGGCGGTGTGTATACCCCGCACTCAGGCCCCCGTTCGGAAGTTTTAAGCTTCTTGTCAGGGGCCTTACGTGGGGAGGTTTCGGTCGAAGTACTTTTAACTTTGCGCCGCCTGCGCGGTCGTTTCGGGGAAGGACTGTCTGAGCCGGAAGCTCTAGAGTCTTTAGAGCTGTCACCATCACTCGAGGCACTAGTCGATGACAAAGGTCTTGACACCCTGTCAAGAAAGGGCAAGTCCACTGTCGGTCTAGTACCAGGTGGCGAAAACATTGATGGCTGTCTCGCTGCAGCTGGTTTAATTTCTCGCGCTTTAGCAGTTGGTTTGATGTCAGGTTTCTCTGTTTCTTCCTCCGAACTTGATGTCGATGAACAACTACTGCTGCTTGATGAAGAGGAACTAGAACTTTCTTTAGAACTATCTTTTGCTGGAGCTTTCTTCGTTTCATCTTTCTTAGGCGACAACTTTTTATCATTTTCGGAAGTTTCCACAGTAGGTAACTTACTTCCGAGGCCACTTTTAATGTGCGCAGCTGCCTTTTTCGCTGCCTGTCTTTGAGGTACAATAGCAATCGTTTCTTTTTCAGCATCTTTGGATGACTTCTTTCGACTTACTTTCGCCGGCGAAGGTGTGGTACTTTCTTTTTCTTTTACTTCCTTTCCTTTACTTTTTAGTTTAGGCTTAGTTTTTGGATCTTCAGGAGATGCTAATTTTTCCATAATTGGTTCTTCTTTCTTAACAGCAGTTGTTGATCTCATATTTTCAGAGGCTTTCTTAGCAGCCTGTCGTTGCGGTACTATCAAATCAGTAGGATTGTCTTTCTGTTTAGCAAACTTAATATTTTCTTTATTCTTTGCTTCATCATCAGATTCGCCGCTTTTAACGGGAGGTTTCTTGTCTTTATTTGAAGGTTTCCTGCCACGTTTCTTAGGAGCAGGTTTATCTTCTTCCTTTACCGCAACCTTTTTCTCTGGAGCTGGTATAAATTCTTTCATAGCTGCTTTGGTTCTAGGTAGCTGTTGCTGGGAATCATTTCCATTTGGCGACTTATCTGGCTTTGTCTTTTCTGATTTTACTTTATCAGATTTAACTTTATCTTTGGCAGATTTGACATCCATTTTCAACGTAGACATGTCTTCACTACTGTCCGAGTAGATATCAACCGGGAATTTACTGTTTCTAGTTGATCTTATAGGCATAAGTTCATCACTGTCAGTTCCAGACTGACCTAAGGTTCCAGCAGTCATCTCTTTTTCCATTTGCTGAAGTGTTTTACTACGAGACCTATCTTTTTTGGTTCTGGAACTTATAGCTTCATCTTCACTACTACTTTCAACTACAGCCTTCGATTGTGGTACTTTCTTTTTCCTCCTTTCAGTCTTTTTGGGTGACCTCTTTGCTCTAGTTTTAGGGGATACTTTCTTCTTTGGTGAAGTAGGTTTCTTGACGTCTTCATCGGTGCTAGACCCAATAGCTCGACCCCTGTATTTTCCAGGGCGACTAATCTCGGGAGCACTCTCTTCACTGGAAAGTCCGCTATACATACTTTCGCTTCGTCGTGAACCATTAACATAATGTTTCTTATACGGGTTTGAAGCTTTCGATGACTTTACTAGCCCATTACGATCTTTCTTCTTTTCGTCTCCAGATTCTGGAGGAGCAATACGTGCTAATAATTCATCAAAATCATTCTTATGATCAGGTGCATTTGCATGTGAATATAATCTGTCATATATGGAAGGACCATGGTTAGCCTCAATGATAGCAGCAAGGTCTGGGCCAGCAATCGTTGGATCTGCTGATAGTACAGCTACTTGTTTATGAAAAGTTTGTTCGCGCATCCTGAAGAATGAACGAGACAGCTTTTCCCTTCTGCTTACCATATAACACAAATTCCGCACTCTCTCAAGATCTTGTCTGAGTTGAACAAACATCTTCATTTTATCTAAGTCTGCTTGTTCCTGTCTGTGAGTAAGAAGTTCGCTATCATCCGATTTTGGTGGCAACAAAGGACGATTATTACCTGCTCGTCTTTTTAGTTTCCAGTAATTGTAAATATACTGTATAGCATCTTGATCAACATCAAGCAGATGTGTACTTATATCTTTAACATTGACGTGTCGGTCAAATTCTCTTTCAATTTCTAGTAAGCGCGCAGCACGCGCCTGAGTCTTTTCTTCAGAAGTCATATCTTTACGACGTTTTCGTTTAACTTCCTCCTCCTCAGAACCCGACCCAGAGCATTTTTCTTTTTTAGAATTGACGCTATGTTTCTGACAATATGAACGTAGCTTTACACCATCATCAGCATTTTCATCTTCAATTATTGCACGCATTTCTAGTCCATGTTTAAATGCACACGTTACGTGATAAGCAGTCTTACAAGTCTTTACAGAGCACTGAATACACGCTCCTTTGCGTTCGCGACATAAAACACATACTAAAGACCAACGAGACGCTGGTATTGACGATATTTTAGTTATAGGTTCCATTTTTTCAGCACAACCAATAGACACTTCAGGAATCCAAAGTACGCAACTAACATGGGCCCATTTATGGCCTGAAGGAGTGCATTTCATAGCACCACCGAGATTGGGACATAGGACACAAGTCGGCCGCACACCATCGCCACAAGGTCTGCAGAGCCACTGACCTAAAAAAGAAATAAAAATTAATACCAACATTAATTCACATTCATAGACTTTCACTTCGTCAGTTCAAAAATAAACAGTACATACCATCGGGAATAACAGTAATACCGTAGCAAGCCTGGTGTACGCAAATATTGCATGAATCACAGAAAACCATTTCGTTGCCATCTTCGGAATCAGGTGACCGACAAACATCACAAATAACGTTTTCGTCATACTCTATACCTAGACCTTCTTCGGACTTCATAATTGCTTGTATTTTATCCCATGTCCGAATCTAAAACAAACAAAAAACGTTTCTACACTTTAGACAATTATAATAAACTAAGCCGCGGTTAAACATATATTTTGTTAGTCGGAAGAAAAGATTGCGACTATTTGGCGCCTGATTAGTGCATCAAATTCGTTCAAACCAAATTGATGATCATAGTCGTCAACCACCGACTGTGAGCGAGCGTTACGCAGTTTATTGCATTTTCATACATACTCAACTTTCGTTCATATCAAACCGACAATACGTAACGCACAATACGATACACTCACTCGACGTTTGGTGTGAACATACACTTACTGTGTACAAGGCAGCAGTACGCTAGCTCTAATGTACTGGCAGTTGGCTGCGCAATCTGTGCCATTATGTTATAATTGAAATATTGGTCTCAAATGTGGTACAAGAAATATACACCCTACCATTTGTTATTTACCTTATTCTACTTAAATTAGTTTTACGCCCTAGGGAACCATTTGGTGGAATAAAATTAGCCTGTATATTAATCCAAGATGAGAATTATCCGTATACCAAATTAAATCGAATTCCATCCGGTAGTTTTTTCGTAAGAGTAATAAACAAACATTCTCATTAACTTGGACAAAGAGGAGTCAACGGGGGATTTAAGTTGTTATATTTCAACTACTATACATAGTATAAAATAAAGTCGCTTCCCGCTGTTTTAACGCTGAGATCTTTTAAACTACACATCAGATTTAAATGCGACAATACACAGGGTGATTCAAGAGGAAGGTTCGTTTGTACAACATGAGACCACGACGGGGAAACCGCTTGTGGAAAGCTAGTATGGTATTAAGTCAATAATAAAATCTATTGCAACTTGATTACCTTTTATTTTGCATAGATGAAGGATTATTAATTGTAATCATACTTTCTAAAGCTGTGTTTCAAGTGTCAATTTTGGGACCATTACTTATCCTTTTTTACACGAATGATCTTCGAAGAATTTTTTCTACCTAATGTGAGATAAGTTAATTCACATATATTGACATGGTTGAGTTAGTTAAATTATGAAATTTCATTTTAATACATTTATATAAGTAAGTTTATTCAAAAAAAAACCAGTATAGTTTGTTCTAATTGGCCATCAGGCTAAGCTAATATATATGCATTCAATATAAGTTGGTATATACTATTACTATCCTTTCGACCAGTTGCTCGACGTCCAATAACTTTTAATGACGTAATTAAGCTCTAATGAAAGTCATATTGTATGTAATGTTGCTTTAAACTAATGTCAATTTTAATGGACGTTTGTGCATCTGGCTGTTTGTCCATCTGGCTGTTTGTCCATCTGAATGATAGTTATAACAAATAATTTTGATTTAGTTTTCATTAATATCATAGACGAAAAAACCTTTTAACCGACTCAATTCCTGAGAGAGCGATATTAGACTACAAACATAAGGTTGTCGCTTATACGTTTTCTTCCAATGTTAACCAGAGCATTTATATATCTTGTAAAAAAATTAAAACTTATATTTCTACCTCACCTATATATAAACATGTGAATACATATTTCTCATGCATGTTTTTATTTTAAGAGTGATATATGTATATGTAAGCCTCCGAGATCTGATGGCGTATTGTATTGATTCAAGTGATTGCTCATGCACAGCGTTTCCAAACCTTTTCTGATCCACAGACCCCTAGGATATCGAATTCAATTTAAATGAATTCCCTAATTAATAAAAGTAATTTGTTGTCGTATAATTTTTGAAGTATTACAAAAAAGGTGTGCTGCAACTAAATCAGATATTCGATTCTGAACTCAGCGTACATCCATAAATATACTTGCGGGCTCCCAGCGGTACGCGGAACACGGCTTAGAAAACTATACTCTACCAGTTGGTGAATATTCAGTCCTCCGTGTATTCATTTCCTCGAGCTTTGCAAAAAAAAATAGTTCGCGCGGCGCTTTACCTTGATTCCCTCCCATGTGAGTCCTCATTTTCGTTGTTACTCCTAGATTATCTATTTCATGATGAATAATATCATGGTAATGATATACACTGTCATCGTAAAGTGATCCACTATACCCATATACATTCTATCATATATTCTTGGGTAAATGTATTCTTGGGTATATATCTTCATACTCAAAATCATATGTGTCCCAACCAATAATGAATCGAACAACGTTTTAAAGTGTTTTAAAATAATTATAATGGGTGCTTATTAAAACAATATTACTTTAGGTAAATAAACCTTATTATGTACCCAAAATTACGTTTAAAATTTAACTGTTTAAAAAAACCGCGTAAACGGCGACTTGGAGAACGTGACGTCATTTGTAGGGTAAACACAGGGTATTTTCAGAAAAAAAAAAATCATTGCCTGCAGTACTTATATTTAAACTCACAAATAAATAAAACAGTAAACTGACCCTTGTAATCTTTTAAAAACTAAATGAATCATTAACATTATATTGCATTTTGAATGTTTCCCACGCTTTTCCGAGAGTCTTTGATCTTTAACATTATTTCTTTTTTTTCACATATTTTCGTTATTTGAAATTTTGAGTAACGCCATATGGTCTTTCTGAATGTCAGTAATCTATGCTCTAATATACGAGTTGTATATATGAAGTAAAAGTATATGTGTATAAATTTGCATCATATCATATCTTCTTCTACCTGTTTCTACTACTTGTTAACTGTTTTATATTCTTTTTTGTTCGTTGTTACAGTTTTTTATTTAGACTATAAATATACTAACTTATCAAGCCTAGTCAGCCGTTTCATTTTCTAACCAACAACTAGCATCGGACCCATTATACAGTTTGTGGCCTTAGTGCTTGTCACGTAATAACAACATAAAAAATTAATAGTATTTCTATTCCTAATAGTATTTCTAGTATGTACTGTATGATTTGCCAAAATAGAATTTTAGTTCAGGCTGCATTAACGTGAACACACAGAAGTTGCTTACTAATTTAAGTGCACGTGCATTCACAATAATGTGTTGCATTATAGGTATCTATAACAGTCTTGGCGGTTCTTCATTATGTGAAAAAACTATTATGATTGGTCAATTGGTTTCGAATTGCGGGGGTAACCCGTCTTGCCGACTTCTCTACGTGACCACGCCCACTATCAACCAGCAAGTAAACGTGAACAAGCACTTGATATGCTAAAGGAAATTATACCAAATAAGAAAACAGTGGGTTAGTGCATTATAGAAATTGAATAATATAAATAAATGCAAATGTACTACATTACCTAATATAAATAGAAGAAAAAAAAAAGGACTTAGCATTATTCAGAAGGAAGAGTCCAGTCGCCCGGCGGCCCCGTACAATTGACACCCGTGAACTGTACGGGGCCCTCAATGTGCGTAAGCAAGAATTAATTAAAAACTTCCTAAATTGCTTTTTATTTCAGATGCAACAAAAGTCAAAAAATTATTTTCTTCCGCGTAAAGCGTGCGTTTTAAAGTTGGCAACAACCTGCATCGATTTTCGCGGGCTGCGGGATTTTTCCGTTGAAGTCATTTACTTTAACGAGGGAATTCCACAATAATCGATGTACATACTATTAAAATTCGCACTGTTTATACAATTTTTTTTTCTTCCCCCCCAAACAATTTTTATACAGGTATGGCACGCCCAGGCAACGCTTCGCCACTGGTTCAGTTTGAGGTAATGTTCTTTTATTTGTTTAGTAAGAGTCGTGTAATTGGGCACGTCTGATATCTACCGGCAGAGATTTCTATAACTTTTATATGTGTACTGACCTCTAATTCTTCTATGACTTTCTCGAGCTGGTCTTCATTGATGGGCAATGCACCGGCTCTCGCTCGCTCCGCGTTGAGCAACTTTAGCCATTGAGTATCCGTGGCGTCCAAGTCGTATGCACATGCCGCCTCAGCTTGCGCCGGTGTTGAACTCAAATGGTGCTTATCAGCATTGAAGTGAGCATCACGGGTCAAATGTATGTACTTGTCTTTAGGTCTGTGAAAAAGCACTTTATTTTAAACACCATAAAATAACAAAGTGTAACTAAATTTCATTTTCAATATTAGAAAATTAAATTACATTTTTAATACTGTATTTAAGTATTGTAAACAATCAAATACTATAAAAATATTTTCCTAACGTGCTGACTTAGAGACAATGCACAATCTAAACCCCTAATGGTATAACACATTGAATGCCAGCTGGAAAAGCTGATTTTCTGGAAATGGCCAATTTGTTATATTTATTAAAATTGGATTTAGTTTGTTAAAATTACTTTCTATAGAGGTTCTTTAATTTTAATATTGTCTAGGTAGGTTAAACACGATATAAAAATATATCATGCGATATCGTCATCGGCCATACAAAACACAATTATTGCACACATTCGGTACAATCACGCGATATCGCGTGGACGGCACTGTCTGGCAGGTCAAATCTCGCGATATCGCGTGATTAGCATTCGACGTGATAATACTAATATAAATTTTATGTCTTCTATTCGTGATGCGACAGAGCGTCGTTAGTTTTGTGTAAAGTGTGACACGGGTGCACCAATAAAATAATTATAATAGATATAAGTCACTAACTTATGAAATTTTAAGCAAGTTTCACATATCTGTATTTTTTTTTTGTTTTATATGCTTTCTCTGCGTGTCAATAAAATGTTTTGTTTCTTTCATTCTACAAAGGTATTTAAAAGTGCCTGTCAACTGTATAAGAAGTTAGGTTATAAAAATCAGGAAAGAGTGAGAAGAGGGAACATGAGGGGTGGTCTTAGAATATAGAGACTGTTATTAAGATTGATGCTCATTTATTGAAAGATGCTACAAATGTTATTCAGCAATGTTTTGTCACATATATTCCTATCTAGTCTCTTTTTTAGAAATGAAAGTGCACTCAAAATGTGTCTAATTTAATTCCTTATACCCAGCATTGAATTGGAATTTATTTACAGTAAAGTTGAAGTAAAATTATATGTAAAACTGAGTCTCGGCAACATTCTTCAAACATCGAAATTAACTTGAATTTTATATCAATAAAGATACTGAAGTCCCTGATATTGAAGTGAATTAACAAGAGCTTATTTGGAGTTTTTATTATATACGACACTTATAAGACTCAAACTCAGTCCTCCTCTTTTGTTTTAGTCAAAGACATTTAATCCAATAGGGAACTACTTATTACCATATAAAACTTGACTTTGTTAGACTACTGCAGAATAAATAATATATGCAAACTCACAACTTGAATTCTTCAAAATCAGGTGGCCGTGGATTATCAATTATCGTTACTTTAGGAGCGGGCAGTGAGTCAGGATTGACGGGTACCTGGACCCCACGTTCCCAGTCTTGTTTCCATGTGTCTGTTATTATCCAGTACTCGCTTGGAGTCAAAGGCTCAGAGTCTGGAAGTTTCATGGCGCTGATGAGATCTTTCCTGGAATATTTAATCACATATGTTTAATACCTCATTTCAATACTAAATATTAATAAATTAAGTAATATATTATTCTAATTACTAAATAATATTCACATTTGTTACAAAATTTGAATTGATAACAAAATAAAATATATTTAATTATTAAAATATAGACCATGATAAAATCTAAGACCTAATACAATGAGAATTGTATTTATTAATTAAATTGTTACAATATTAACTTTGATTTCTATTTTGGTAATGCTGATTGCTAGATTGATCTTGGTAAGTAAACAATAACATGTTGTAACGAAACATACTAAATTGAACAATTCAGAGCAATTCTCATAGTAATATGATCCACAACCTTTTTAAAAGTCTGAAGTCCTACTGAATAAAATTCCTGAAAGAAATAACTCCAGAAAGAAGCAATAAATCTATAACTCTGTAACATAATAACATCACTCCAGTTATTTTAATGGCTTTCTATAGACTCCTCATAAGTAGGGTTGCCATCTGTCAGGCTTCAGCCAGACAAGTTTGGCTTTTTTAGCTAGACACAAAGCTGAATATTACGATGACTAGCTAATATGGCTTTTGTTGGGCTTTTTTTTTAGTTTAACGCGGTGCTTGCAGCACCTGTAGCACAAACACTAAATGTGCAAAGCACAAAGTATAAGGTTGAAGCAGTGTGACATCAATGGCATTTATGTATGACTAATAAAGAAAAACAACCTTAGAAAAACTTAAGAGATTTTTAAATCTTATAAGTTATGTTAAAAATTTAAAACATGCCAGCCTAGTGAAGTTCATCTTTTAGAGTTAAATTTTCAGATTTAGAGAGCTGTGTTAAGACATTTTTTAGATGGCAACCCTAATCCTAAGGCATATGAAAAAATGGACAATGAACATGATATTCTGTAAGCGCCGAAACAAAAGCATACAAATCACTATTCCTAAACCTTATCGTTTCTGCGTAATACTGCAATTTATTGTATGGGACACTGTAGATTTTTGACCAAACCCTATCAATAAACAGTACTAAGGGAGAGCAATACCGCGTCTATGGATAGCGATATATGTAGATTTCTTTCTATGAACAAACTGTAATCGTTGAATTTATAAAACACAACATATAAAAATATATTAAAGTGTACTATTGCAAAAATACACTGCTGATATGCATTCTTTTTTAAAACCAAGAATCTTTTATTATAGTCATCTCATTATATATACTGTGCATACTTAGAATGAAAATCACTTAATTAAAAAAGTTCACAGAAATGTAGAACTCAAGTGATTCAAAAAACTTATTAGAATTAAAGTTTTATTTATCTTTACATGCTTCATTTCATGATTGATTTTTACAGATTCATGGATTAACACTTTCTGTATCTTAAAACATATTTTTTGTTACCATGGCATTTTTCACTCTTTACTCTGTAAATTATGAGAAAATCAGAAGTTACAGGAATTTTGGTTTAGCAAATTTCATTCTAAGAGTGCAATATGTAGCAAGCAGTATGTATATATTGAACATTTGCATTACAACAAGGTAGAATTTTTCGCATGTCAACTTGTGACTGCACACACATTGTATTTATAATTAAATAATTACAGTGACACTACATAGATAAAATTCTTAAACAAGTTCTTATTATATTTAAAACACAATAAAACAAGACTTTCATAACTAGTGATAGATTTACAGATCAATCTACCTTTCATGTCTTTCCTCAATATTGAAAACTTACAGAATTTCTGTGAATGCACAGAGGAAATTAATCTAAAGATATACTATTTCTCATTAATATTTTATATGATAGATATTTCATTAGTGTTCATTTATTGACATTAACGATGGCAAAAAAAAATTCGCTTACTAGCTTGACAGCTGTTTATATGTCTGTACAGTGGCACCAGACCTACATAAAAATAAATCTTATTATAATATTAAACAAATAGTGAAACGTAGCTCATTAACTATATAACATCGCAAAAGCAACATGAAATCGTTTTTTTTTTTTTCAAATCAGTATATTTCTCGATAGATCACTATGTAATTTAAATACTGATTTACTGTCTAAATGTTCATATTAATTGTATTCACAGACATAAAATATCACATCATATGCAATACAAGGCATAAAGCAAAACAAAATGTTCAACAAGTGTAGATATAAAATGTTTGTGAATTAACAACAATTGACTGTAAATATTTTCTTAGCAATGAAGATTATATTTAAAAAACACCATACTAGCTTATTTTAATCAACACTTAATATGCACAAAAAAATATTAAGTGCTAATAGAGCAAATAAATAGTACAATGCTATATAAGATTAAATTTAATAAGTTTTTATTTGAAATATTTATATGACACCAATCAATGCACAGCATACATATAGAGTAGCATTTTTGAGAGCAATATCTTTAACCTGTCTGGGTTAATGTTTGTTTAAATTTTCTATTATGTTTAAAATGTAATAGAAAATTTAAACAAATATAACATTATACAACATTAACATTATACTACTCCTAAAAATTAGCAATAGTCAAAATAGTAATAGCATAATATAATAATAAAGAATAGTATTGCGCTTGGCATTGTAAATTTATTCGCAGAGCATATTTAATATCAAATACATTTAAAGTATTCCAATCTATAAAAACATATCAGGGTCTATATGATGTCTTCTACTGAAGTATTATGATTAATTATAATGACAATATTTTCTTAGGCTTTATTACATTTGTTTCTGTCCATTAATCAAGAAATTAACATGGTTTAGTACAAGGACACATGTTCTGGTGAAGCGGCATTGCATTGAAAATAAGAAATATATATTTGCTAATTTGATAAGTTTTTAAAAATATAACTATAAATCTAAATTATTTAAGATAGCACCACTGGGCCATATTGCACACAAACCTGAATAGTTCAGCTGGTGCCTCTGAGGCACTTCTGTTATATATTGATGACATTTTGACGTCAGGCCGGAGCTGCCAGGGAGTGTCCTCAGGCTCCGTTCTGCGGCGCTTGGATGTGCCTGGTTCTTCACCACGCACACCGGTAGCCCGCTTTGTGCCTCTCATAGACATCGCTCTTAGTTTTAAGTTCACAACCTACATGTTCACGATCCGTCTACTGCTTTGCACTTGGAACGTGGAAGCAACATTGTGTAAAATGTCACATTGTTCACTACATGATGGCACTTTAATATGATACAATGCAATTGGTACAACCTGAAAAGGAAATAGTAAATACAGTGTTAAATATTGATCAGCAAATATATATTTACAATGATATCTATCTATGGATTGTTGCTACAATTTTGACATGTTAGAAACATTTCAACCAAAACATTCATGCAACAAGTGACATTCAACAGAATCATGGTTTACTATAGTTGGAATAAACTTTAGATACATTTTAGTAAGATAATTCTCACAAAAAAGAGCAAATTAACGTAAGGAAAGAAAATGTCAATTCTGTATTCAACAATGCCATACTTGCAGGTGTTAGGTATAAAAGATCCGATCTTATCTCCAACATGTTCAATAATTTGATAAACAAGGACTATTTTAAGCATTCCAAAAGAATTTAGCTAACAAAATGATCGAAATTCCCATTTGACGTTTCACTTTATTGCAATAGTAAAATGTATGGCGGGCCCGAGTGACCCGAGGACTGAGTAAATAGCGGTCACTTTTACACTTAATGCTCATCCCATCCATTTCTTTACACATTTACACATTATAAACTGCACTTACACATCACTAATATTCTGATAAATAAATCCATTTCTTAGTAATTTAACCGTAAATATTTATCTCACGGATGATAGTCTCCATTAGACTACATAACAAAATTGACAACATAGATAGCAGCACTGTTTTGTTGCCAGACTGACATGAGACCTACGCATCATTTTCGTTCTTTTCTAACAGTGAATGTAACCTTTTAGGCTTTTAATGATATTAACTATTAACATACTCAAATATATGATCAAATAGTTCATATTTTACATACATTTTCTGTAACAGACATTTGGCGCCATTGATCCAAAAAACCTCCTTGGTCACGTGACTATGTACGAATCACCAACGCAAGCCAAGTAAAATGGCCAAAACGCACATCGAGTTCATCAAATGTCATAGGCTTCGGAAGGAACTTGCCGCATAACATATACATTGAGATAAGATTTTATTTTAAAAAAGACGAGGGTAAACCAAACACAAGCACATATTCAATAAACAGCAGATTTGTTAGCAAGTAACACAATTTATCTAAAATTTGTTACAACATGAACATAGAGCGAAAGATATCAATAAGCAGTTTCTGAAATCGGCCACCAGTTGGCGTTTTATAAAAAAAAAAGTTACGAATGTTGCAAGCTGAGAAAAAGTATATTGACTGAAATAGATTCATAAAATAATTTGGTTATATTTGTATATATTTAACTAAATATTTCATAATAAACCGTTAAAAATAGTAAATAATATATTATATAATATTTAAAAAAAACAAACTGCAATAAATAGTACATACCACTTAATTAAAATATGATGTTACCATTATAAAAATTTTTCCTTGTAATTGTTTTTTTTATTTTTGCCAATGAAATTATATTAAAAAGAAATATGTAACGCTCCGTGTAATATTTTGAAATAAAAAAAATACATTTAAATTTACAGATGATATTTAAAAAATTCATTTGACTTGAACACAGCTTTAACACGTTGAACCCTCCTCTTCCTTTCCTTTCACCTTGCGGTACCAAAATCATTGACTCATTATCATAGAGAAATTGGTCATTCTGCACAATCTGCTAAATACGATAGGTGGTAATAAAGAACATTATATATAACACACAATGTCTCGTTTGTATGTATGCATACTGTTTCCATTTACAATTAAATTGGGTTTTACTATATTAAGTTTTCCTTTGAATGGGTAATTATAATTTATATTATAAGTTCTTAATTTCCTGCTAAAGATTTGTACACAAAAAATCATTAGGTCTCCTGCCTGCACCTAAGTGATTAAGTATCATGTTTAACGAACACGAATACACTCACCCATTAAAAATGTAAAAACATTTTTAATGGGTGAGTCAACACATTTCGGATATTAAAATATATTATAATTTAATAATTAGGTAAAATGCATATACTGTTTTTATAAATTATTATGGAGATTTGTATAAAAACTACTATAAAAATATCAAATTTTAGTGCTTATTTATAGATTATTATATTAATTAAATATCCCAAGAAATTGTGTTAGAGAGGAGAATTATCATAATATAAAGCCCCAATGTACATAGTATAATCACAATACAAATGTTTGGATTTCACGTGCTTACTTATTACCATATTTGAAAAACCTTATAAATTACCTACGTAAACAATTAATTCTACATGAAACATTTATTAATCTTACTGAAAACTACGGTGTCAGTTTTCATCCCTAAGGCACCTTTATGGATTAGAACAAAAAAGGGATGAATCTCGTCTCGGTATAAGAGGCCTGAACGTACGTTCATTTGGGTTCTCAAAAATCTCATAAAATCCCGTGTGCATGGAGCTTAGGCATTAATTTTTGATAATCAAAATCAACTTTAACAAGCTATATTACAGCAACTATTTCTATTTCATAGTTTCAATGATAGAATAAACATTGGTCGCATATTGTCATAAGTATGGGTCATATAAACGACCAATTTTTCAATCAAATGGGTGCATTGTGTAAGTATAACGAGTAGGTATGTTATTTCCACCATATCTTTAATTCCAACGGATAACTAATGTATAGAGTACAATTAGAAACGTTACATTGTCAGGAGTGACAATGCTATGTAGCTTTATAATTTTATGCTATCGTGACAATTTTAAAATTCACGTTTTTACGAGTTTCGAGCTTAGGTATATCGCACATACTGAGTCAAGTGCTAGTTTGACTGGCCTAGATAAATTTTACACGTTTGTGATTGTGAAACAAAGTATTTGATAATGAATAACATGAAATATATTAGGGTATACTAAATTGTATGTGTGTAACTTTATACACAAACTTATATTAATGGACTTCTTCCGACTAATATCAGTGTGATCGGGACTGCATTCATAGAAAAAAAATTAAAAATCCGGGCAAGTAATTGATAATTCCTACCAAACTCCACTTCTGAATTATATCTATTATAGAGTAATACCAATTTTTTTGGGATTAGTAATGTTAATATTCCTCTTCTAGAACAGTATCAACTATTATGGGTCGGTGCAAACCTAACAGACGGAATCGTGCAAAACGTAGGTATCAAGCGTCTCACAATAGTTAAAACGCACGGTGATACGCGTTAGTACGCGGTGAATAACGCGTAGAGTATACATGGCACCTTTCCCTCAACTTTTTAAATAAATAAAAGTTTTCAACACAAAAAGGGTTGGGAAACCCTATCCTAGGGTGTAATGGTTCTATATAGGTATTTAGATGTTTCAGAGAACAGGGATATATCACCAAAAACATATCGATTGTGAGGTAGTAAGCCGTCGAAACCCCGACGCGATAAGCATTATGAGTTCCGTGTGAATATGTATGTACATTATTAGACGCGCTGGTGACAAGTGTACAGTTTCACTGGCGAACTAAAACTTTTGTGTACATTCAAATATACATATAATGGGTAAGTGGAAAAAGAAAAGATCGGGGAAAATATCAATGAGTCAACATTACTGTCATTGGAAGATGAGAAGGATAACATGACAATTGGTTCTGAGTTCTGGACAGTAGATAGAATTTCAACGGTATCATGTAAAGACGATAGACAATTTGCATTTATCAGCGTTTCTGATGCTATTTCAACGCAATGTCGGAGATCAATGAAACAAAATCTATATGAATCAAAATTTATTGACATCATTACCATTTTTATAATATTAACAGGCCGTATATAATGTATGAAATTTAAACATTTATATTACCATCTACGAAAATAAAAATAAAATATATGCACCTAATGTTAATAGTTTTTTTACATTTATTTTCAAATACTGCTTTTAAAGCAAATTATTTTATTACAGGTGGTAAATACTTATAATTTATTCCATTTTTAAATAATATGGAATTTCATTACTATACTTTCATTATTATAAAGATAAAAATTATGATAACAAATACAATAAAACAAAAACATACTTCTTTAAATGTTACTAGTTAATTACCATTCAGAGGGAGACGCTTAAAGTACACAAAAACATCTGACAAGTATCTATTAATTCAAATCATGTACGTAATTATGCAATCAGATCATTCATATTGTTGAATAGTCAAAACAGTTAATATAATATCTTATCTACAGTTTTCATTAGCATGTTAAGTTGCCAAGATGCTTCTAGTATTAATTCGATTTCCCGATCGATCTTATCGTCATGACAGAAATGTTCGTGCAATTTAAACATCTCGGCTGGTAATTCAAATAGAGGTGTTCTTAGTGAACGTATTTTCAAATGTGTTCAGGCAATTCAAATTATTTTTTAAGACTAACATCATGCCTATATAGCATTGTTAATGCATTTTCATCATAAACCAACGTTTTAAATATTTCTTCCGGATGTATAAATGAATTGTCTGATCATTGATGAAAATACGCTTACAAATAGCGAAAGTAACAAGTCATAGTAAAGTGTTGGAGAAATTCATCAATCTCGCTAGTGTTGGAGGGCTCAATGGTTAGAGAAGTCGCCCGAATTACGAAATATTATGGGTTCAAATCCCATCTCGGGCATCACCTCGGACTGGAGAATTTCAAGAATTTCTCTTTTACATAAATAGACATACCTTTACTGCGAACGTTTAAATTACTGAACGAATGATTTTGGTTTCTTTAGACGCTATCTATAACCTAATAAGGTACTATTATTATTATAAAAGTGTACAAAATCGCGGAATGATTTAAGAAGATCTATAATAAATTTTAGCTTTAGTAAATTATTCGCCATTTTGGACGTTGGTCAATCTGGAAAAATATTTGTACTAAACCATACAAAAGTCAAATAAAATCATTATTCTATGAGACTTTATGACGTCTCTACTTATCGTG